AGAGCTAGAAATAGGTGCACTTGCTAATCTCACGAGCAGGGAAAGCCACTGATTATAATTGCAGGGTTCTGGGAAAACCCGTTAGCACTTCTCTCCACTTAGCTAGGCCCTTAAATTCCAAGTCTGGCTCTTCATTTCTTTAAGATTTTTATTTCTGTTAAAATGTAAATTTCTTTTATTTTTCTATTGATTATACACAGGATAAACTCATTTCATCAGACCTTTTTACAAGAATTAGACCAGTGGTTTTCTACTTTTTCTGCCTTTAGACTACTCATATCATCATTATTTACCTCTCTCTCTCTCTCTCTCTCTCTCTCTTTTTGTTAATTCTTACCTGAGGATATTTTCACACTAATTTATAGATAGAGTATAAGGGAGGGAGGGAGGGAGGGAGGGTGGGAGAGAGAGAGAGAAACATCTATGTGAGAGAGACACATCAATCAGTTGCCTCCTGAATGACTGGATCAAACCTGCAACCACATACACACCCTTGACTGGAATAGAACTTGAGACCCTTCAGTCTGAGAGCCCACCAGCCAGGGCCATTATTTACATCTCTTAAAGTAATTGACACCCAATTACTTTGAGTCAGACTGTACTATGTTGTAGGGGATTTCTTGTCAGAATTGGGGGAGTATATGCACAGTCAGCAAAAGCCATTTCTGATGCCCCCTCCCAGGCCTCTGCCCAGACCACTCTGAAGCCTGGACCACCATTTAGATCAACAGTTTCCTGAATGCAGAAATTCCTTCTAAATTCCATAAAATACAATCCTTGGTCCATAGGATGGTCTTCATAAATATTTTTTAAACAGATATTGATAGAGGAAAAGAGCAAGAACATATTTTGGACCTGGATGTTTGGAGAACAACCATTAAGAAAGGAAAATGTTAACTACTTCCTATTGTGTCATAGGCTAGCTTGTGGGGAGATGGCATATATAAAATAATAATAACATCTAATTTTCATTGGGAGTTTATTATGTACCTGTCACTGTGCTAAGCAATTTATATGCATTATCTCAGTTAATGCTCACAGCAATCATAGGAGGTAGGTACTATTATTATTCCATTTTATAGGTGCAGAAATTGAAGTTCAGAGAGGTTATGTAGCTTACCCATAGTCACACAGCTGAAACATGGCAGAGCAGTTTCAAATCCAAGCAATCTGATTCCAGACTCACACTGCCAAGGTGATCCAAGAACTGAAGTGCTAACACTGTGTCAGATCCTTATCACAGCTTTTCCTACCCCTCCCCCATATAGATCTGCCCCCAATTTGGACATTTCTCCTAATGCTTCTGGACAGATCTAAAGCCCTTTGTCACTCCTTTTTTTCCAGCCTCAACTGCATTTTCAGAAATATGCAATTCTCCCATCCATCCTCTCCAAGGACCTTCCCTGGCCATCTCTATCTCCAGGTAATCTAAGACCCCATAAGCTGGTACAATGTCAAAGACTGGAAGACTTGATCAACTGGAAACACACAGGGAGACTGTCCTTGGAGGAATGCCCCTGAGACCCACTCTCTCTCCCATGAACAGCAGTCTAAGCGCTCTTCACAGCCTTCTCTGGAGAATCTCTCTTCAGTCCTGAAGCCCAGGACTTTTTGTTGTTCTTTAACCCCACTCCAAGCCTCATTGTTGTCTCCCTTTTTGTCCATTTGTGTCTCCCAGCACCTTTCAGTAGTTTTCTCTTATGTGTATTGACTAAAGCTAATGGAAAGGCCTACAATCAGGATCCAAAGATGACCAACCTTTCAACCCTCAGTAAAGCGCTTGGTAGAGGCTGAACTTCCCAGCACCAGGCCTGATTTCCATGGTGACACCCCTGGGGATTGTTGCCATGGTAATGCTGGAGAGACATTGGCCACAGTGAACATTACTTCCCCTCTCCATTTTCCTTTATGAGACTCCCCAAAGCTAAGTGGAGACCTGCCTGCTCTCCCTCTTCAGATAGCAAAGGAATCCCAGTCTACCCCAAACAATATTGACTCTGTTCTAATAATCCTGCAAGCCCAACCTAGCTTTTCCAAATGAGGTACTTGACGGTTCTGTGTTTTAGCCTCCTTAAGAGCCCACTTAACCACCTGAGGGAGGTAGAATGTAGCAGATACTTGAATGAAGGAGGAAAGGAAGGAGGGATGGAGGGAGGGAGAGAAGGAGAAAAGGAGAGAGGGAGGGAGGAAAAGAGAAAAGAGAAAGAAAAAGTGTGTGTTGTGTGTGCTTCTTTACTGTCATCCTCCCACATCTGGTATAGATGTAGCAAGCAGCACAGACAACAGGCCCCAGGACACTCTGACCACCAAGACCAAAAAGACCCTTAAATGGGTCTGGTGAAAAAATTACATTGGATTCTGAGTGACACAAAGAGCAAAACAAGGTACACTGCACACACAGAGAGTGACCTAGACACCCTTCTACTATGACTCAGGCCATTAACTTTGGTTAAGCCCCGTCCCCCAGATTCCTGGGACAAGTCAGGGGAGGAGGGAGGGATAAGGCTCACAGAGCTCCAGCTTATTCTCCTACCCTTTGCCAAGCAGAAAAGCCCACGAAAATTAGGGAATCTAAAGCCCAGAGCTAGCCGCAGTGCTGCAGAAGCAGAGAAGAGAGCCGTTAGAGAAAGGAGCAGGGCTGGGTGTGGACAGATCATTGTCTTCCACTTTCACTCTTCCCTCATCTTCTCAGACATCTTGAAGCAGCTTTCTTCATTAATTCCTCAGAGAGTTTCTCACACACTGAGCCCCAAAGGGAGCTAGAGGAGGCAAGAGGAAAGGGGGTAAGATATTTCCTTCCCTTGTTGGGACCCTCAAGGGCCTCCTCAAAAATCACTTCCCTATAGTCCTCATCCTCCTGAATAACAAATGAATAGTGAGGTTGGGAAGACAAGCTCCAGGGATGCTGCCTGAGACAAAATGGCCCTCCATAAGCCTTTATCTTGGAGTGAGACTGACAGGAAAGGCTAAGGCAAGGAAAGACACAGAGCAAGACAAAGGTACATCCCTACAAATATCACACAAAACAGACTAGGAAGGACCAGCTATAGAGCTAAGATAGACTCTAAACTGGCACGGGGCCCTGGGCCTCCCCTTGTCTCTCCCCCTTCCCCACCTTCCACCGTGTGTCTCTTGTTTAGCTGCATGAATTGAACAGATCCATACCATAACTCCTTCTCCCAACATCACCCCATACCCCATGCTCACCAAGCCAGGATGAACAGTGCAGAGAGCCTAGAGTAGTTGGTTTAGCCATACCTGAAAAAACCACAGCAAATGAAGCTAGACTTAAAAGTAGAAACATTTTGTGGATTTGTTCCCCCGTAACCACCTCCCTCCTATTTCTCAGCCTTTATATCTCAGAGGGACCTGAAGCTCCAACTCTCATAGCTAATGCCTGCTGTCCAGACTACTCAGACAAGAGTCCCCCAGGATTGATCCACTGACCAGACTGCAAGGTCTAAGGTCCCTGAGGCAGAAAGAGACAGGAGCCCTCTCAATGTGGCAAAGATACATATTTATAAGCACAGATACATGGCACCAGCACCTATTTGAGTTCACAGTGTGGGTTAGAGAGCTCAGTGTGGTGACAGACTGAAACCCTTGGAGACAGGACATGTAAGCATGTCTCTTCCCAAGACATGTTTACTCCAAGTCCCACTCTCACTGATTCAGAGGCCCAGGCTCCCTCACCTTCTTTCCTTCATTGCTTTAACAAGCATGCCTTGTGCCAAGCACTGTGGATCAAAGATACACAAGAAGTGCTCCTGACCTTGAGGACTGTCCTCAGATGTGCCCCTCCCTCCTCAAAGTGGCTAGTTTCCTAGTCCAGCACCCTTCAAGCCCTACTGGACTCCACCCCAATCCTTTCTCTCCTTAGCCTGATAATCCCTACCAACCTAGGAAAGTAGGGGTGAGTGAGAAGTTCCCTAGAAATTCCCTTTGGATCATCACAAATAAAGGACCAGAATAGAAATCTGTAGAGGCAATATAACATAGAGGAAAAGACATGAGCTTTGAAGTCACAGATTTAGGTACATGTTTATGAATTCACAGTGTGACCTTGAGAAAGTCATTCAACTTCTTTGGGCCTCAATTTCCTCGTCTGTAAAATGGAAATATTAATGCCTACTTCAGAGTGTTGTTTTGAGGATTAAATAATATATGTAGAGTAACAACCACACAGTAAATATTAGTTCTTCATAAGCTCTCCTCCGTGGGTAGGGGCAGTCATGATGAAGTAGAGGTGGCTTGCTACTTTTTATTGGATCAACAGAAATGATGAATAAGCAAATACTTGTTAGGATCTTGGGGTCTGGTTATTTTTATTTGTTAGGGGGAGTTGGATGGGTTTGAAATCCTCTTCCTACTGTATCTGGGAGGGAAAAGCTGACATTTCCTTAGGATCCCAGAGACTTCCCCCCAAACTAGGTGTGGCATCAATGTATTTCTTTCTCACTAAACCCTTCATCAAACCTGTGCCCTCCCTCCAAGTCCAAGCTGCAACTATTTCAGGGAATAATGGAGGTCTTGGTCCCAGAGCCCATTCTCTTTTGTATCTCCGCAGAGACCCTGGACTGTCCACCTCGGATCTAATCCATCCACTAGTCTTCCCTTCCCTCCCTTCCTAGGAGCTGGGGGTAGAGATATGAGTCAATAACAAAGAGAAGATGCGCTTTCTCTAGGGGTGAGGGAAAACATCAGAAAAACACGGGACTGGTTGCAAAGGGCGAGGACTCTGCAGAGGACAGCAAAGGGGAGGTGGGTGACCTGATCTTGGGGAATTAGCCCCCTCCCACTCTGCAGAGACTTGGCCGCGGGCCTGGCCTGGCCACACCCAGCCATCCTGGTGCAGGGGAGAGGAGGGGCTTCGGCGAAAAGTATGGAGGATGAAAGGCGGGGAAGGGGCTCAGAGTGACAGGCTGGGGCTAAGGCTCAGCGAGGGGTAGGATTCAATCTCCTGCCCTCTCCCCGAATATTTCTCCTGGAGCGGCACTCACCCCAATAACGACGCTGTCGTCCCCTTGGAAAATGGGGATGAACTTGTCTCCCCGCAGAATCTCGGCCTGGTTCAGGGGCCGAAATCGGCAGAGCACCTTGATGCTGCATTCGTTGTTGGTCTCGGTCATGGTGGTCGCCGACGTGGGGCTGGGGCACTTCTTGGGCGGCAGAAGAGGTGCGTGCTCCGAAGGCGGGAGGTCAGCGAAGGCCGAGACGGAGGACAGGTGCTCGGTCTCCGGAGCCGAGAAAGCTCTGGGGGCGCCCGGATGAAGGCTGGGAAGCAGGGCCGGGGCGCACTTTCTCTCTCCTGCGGCAGCGGGATGCAGGATGCGGGAGACCTAGGCGTCTGGTGCTCTCCGGGCTCTCTGCCTCTCCGCCCCTCGCGCTGCAGCGCCGCTCTGCGGGCCTGGGCGGGGCGGCGACCGAGGAGCGGGGCGGGGCTTCCCTCGCGGGGGGCCTGCCGCTCGCCATCCATCACCGACGGTGGCACCCTTCCTCCCTTTTCACTTCTGCTCCCACCCCTAACTCTCTACCAAGTTACTCACTGCATCCCATATTCCTGACCTGCCTGTCCCTCCCTCGGACTCCACCCCTCTGGAAGGAATAAGGGGTCTACAGAGGGCCTGTACAGCCTGTCCAGGGAAGAGAATCAACAGCACTTCCAGCCCCCTTTAAGGCATCCTTCTCCCATGTCACAGTCCTTCTCCAAATTGGGAGCACACTTATCCCCTCTACACACTCCTGTCGCAAAGATTCCCAATTCACCCAACCTTCAAGAGCAGCGGCCCATACCTCTATGGAGGTGGCTGTCCAAGTCCCCCCCTTTTTATTTATTTTTTTTACAGAGAAGAGTATCAGAAGAGGTTTGGCTATTTCCTTCCCCTCTACATCCAGGGGTGCAGTCTGCTATGTCCCCAACATACACTCTAGGTCCTCAGTTTGAAGGAAGACAAACTCCTATTCTAGACTATCAGAATTCAAAAGCAGATAAAATTTTCATTTTTGTCTCATAGGTTTGGGCCTGCGATGAATGTGGGCAGCAGTAACTTTTGCAAGAGAAAGGGAGTCAGAAAGCAATGAAGGAGGGGTGGTGATGGGGTGGGTAAGGCCAGAGAGACTTTAAGAGAGGACTTTCGGGGCAGACATTTGCATTTGCATTTTGGGCAGGTTTAGGCATCTATGTGAGTGTGATTCTTGTGCCAGTTACTATCAGAAAGAGTCCTAAATCCTCAGCCCCTTTCTCGGGCCTTTCTTCTCTGTTTCTCCCCCTTCCCTCTCTGTTTCTCCCACTTTCCTGGCAAAAAAAAAGAAGAAGAAGAAGCAGCAGCCAAGCTTAGAGATTTCTTGTCCTTCCTGCCCTTAGGTCAGACTTCTTGCTGCAGCCCCTGGGCAGAACCATCTAGAAGCTGGCCAAATTGATTTTTCTCCACATCATAGGCCTCTGCTGGCCAACAGAGTTAGACTGCAGGAGTTGAGGCTCTAGGCCAAGGGGAGGAGCAGGATATTAGAAGGGAGGAGGGGATGGAGGTTCTGTCTAGCAATTGTCTAAGGTCACTTAGACACGATGAGGCAAGGGGAGAGAATGATGGCCTGGCCAGACAAGATCTAACCACTCAGTACTCAACTGAGAGGGTTTCCCAAATTGGGCTTATACTTCTAACCCAACTTGAATCTTCAGGAAACTGAAAAAGGGTTCAGGATAAGAAACTGGATGGGAAAAAAAGAAAAGAAAGTGGATGGGAAGGCAATAGAACTATGGAGAAAGAGGAATAGAGGCTTGGGGAGAAGCCAAGAGAGTATGCAAAGAATGACAATGAGTTCCAAACTCATGAAAATAGGCATCTCTCCAATCACCTGATCTGTCACTATTTCTAAGTTTTGCAGCATCCTGAATACTTAGGAAACATCCTAGGATACATCCCAACCTTAGGCCTCCAGGGACTCCAGGGTGGCATCTTTGAGTAAAGGAGTTTCAAAATGCTAGTCTATGGAGGGTCATTGGTTAGAGACAAACGTTTATGGGTATGCACCCCCCAAAAACAACACCAACAACAAAAAACACAGTGTGGTTTTTCATAAAGCAGGATTTATTGTTTCAAAGGACTGTCTTTTACTCTGAGAGTATGTCCTTCCTACTTTTCTGCTAAGAAATGATGGCAATAGTAGGTTTTCTTTCTTTTAATGTACTTGGAAAAATGAAAAGGTAGCAATACTACATCTACCTTAAAAAAATTCTGTTGTTATTGTTGTTTTAATTTAATTAAAAAGTCTGAAAACACTGAAGTGGCTAAGAGCATTGAGGGTGTTCAGACAGAGAGCCATCACTTACCTATTTATGAACTTGAGACAGGCTTGCCAGATTTGAAGACCAAAACAGGATAACCAGTTAAGTTTAAATTTCAGATAAAAACTAAAAACTCACATTTTTTGTGCTATTATGTCCCAAATATGGTATGGGACAAACTTATACTAAAAAACCTATTGTTTATTTGTAATTCAAATCTAACTAGACATCCTGTATTTTATGACAGCCCTAAATTGAGAAGATTACTTAACTTTTTCATTCCTAACAAGACTAAGCCTTTATTAAAGTTTACATGTTATTGTTGTTTTTGGAGCCCTGGCTATGTCACAGCATGCCTACTTGTGTTATTTTTATCTAGCATTTAATTTCTGGGGAATCCAAATTTATTTATCCAAAAAAACAGGAATTAGAAAAGTTCTTTCACCCAGCCAGTGTGGCTCAGTGGTTGAGTGTCAACCCAGGCACCAAGAGGTCACCAGTTCCATTCCCAGTCAAGGCACATGCCCAGGCTGTGGGCCAAACCTCCAGTGGGGACATGCAGGAGGCAGCCACTCGATGCTCTCTCTCATCGAGGTTTCTCTCTCTCTCCTTCTCCTTTCCTCTCTCTCTAAAATCAATAAAGAAAAAAATTTTTAAAGAGAGAAAAGTTCTTTCAGACTTTATGTAAAAATTAGCGAAAATAGCCCTGGTGGTTTGGACCAGTGGTTGGAGCATCCCCGTGGACTGGAGAGTCCCCGGCTCGGTGCCCAGGTACCTGGGTTGCTGTTTGTCCCTGGCCCCAGTTGGGAACGTGTGGGTGGCAACCCTCCATGTGCCTCTCTCACATCGATGTTTCTCTCTCTTCCTTCCTTTCTCCCTCCCGCTCTATCTGAAGGTAAATGCAGGAATGTCCTTGGGAGAAGATTTTTAAAAAAGCAAAAACAGGTTTGAGGTAATAACTCCCAAGGCGCCTTATTGTCATGCCCCGCCCAAGCCCGGCGGCCAAGACTACAAATCCCAGAATCCTAGCCAGCGTCACCCCGCCATTACCTCATCCCCTGGCCCGGCTCTCGCCAACCCCTGCTTCTACAGGGGTGTGGCAGCGGGCAGTTCTCGCGACTTTTGTTTTATCCTTCGCCTGTGCTACTGCTGTCGCGAGACTTTGTGCTCCTCCGCCACTCCCTTCGCTGCCGCCTTAGCCCGGGACTCGGACCCAGCCTCTCCCCTACCCGAACACCGGCCCCGGCTCCGCCGAGGCCCTGGTCCCCCAAACTCGCCTCGCCGCCGCCATGGCGGACCCTAAATACGCTGACCTTCCCGGCATTGTGAGTACAGGGCCGGCCTCGGCTCCTTAGGACCCCCAACAGGCACCAACCTGTGACCCCTCCCGTCTGCAGCCCCTCCTCCACCCCCAGGGGTCCCGCCGCTCGCTCCGGGATGAGCGCAGCATCTTCCGGACTCCTTCGAAGCGACTGGGCCGGGCTGTGGCACGGCCTACCAGGCCCCTCTGCCGGCAGTCGCCGGTTTCTCGGCCCAGGAATCGTCTCGGGGCCCTTACCACTTGTGCCCGAGTGTTTCTACCATCCGTGTCAACACCACCCGTGTCTCCCCAAATCTTCCCATTAGCCCCCCATCCCCACTCCAGACACACATACCAGGCCACTTAGTGTTGGCCTTCATCCTCCAAGGAAGAGGTTACCGTGGCAGAAAGAACCCTTCTTGTATTGGATGGAGAACTCTGCCCTCCGGGGAGTGCCCTCCCACCTCACTCCACCCCGCACATGCCAGCATGTACCCTTTTTTGTGCTGCCCTGCCTCCACTCTTGGAGTGGGGGCTGGGTCACAGGACCTTGGGAAGTAGGTCCTGAGTCACTCTTCAACCCTTGTGCTAGAGTAGTGGTGTACAGGACCTAATTGGAGGATAGCCCTTTTCTTATTTCTGACAAGACCCATCCCCCTTAAGAGTCAGGGTAACATCTTTGTTATCACTTACGCTCACCATTTACCATCAAGTCCCAGTTGTCCCCGCTGTCATCTCTGCCCTTCTAAGACATGGGAACTGCAGTTCACTGGGCAGATGGAAGAGAAGGGACAGAATCCTGGCATCACAGTCAGCCTTCTCTGTTAACTTGTTCAAATGGAATAGGGTCAGGGGTGTTGGTGGATGCTGGGTAATGAGGTTGGGTGATCACTGCTTCTACCTGCAGGCCAGGAACGAGCCAGATGTATATGAAACCAGCGACCTACCTGAGGATGACCAAGCAGAGTTTGATGCGGTAAGACTGTGTGCTGCCTCAGGACTCCTCTGGACTCTGACCTTTCTCCCCTGGCCCTTTCTTTTTTCTGGGGAGCTACAGCAATAAGCGGGTATGCCAACCCAGCCTGGATGGTGTGTAGGTTGCAAGGCTTTGGTGGTCTTGCAGCTACCAATGAACAACACTAGGAAGAAGAGTCAGGTCAGTGGAATTCCAACTGACAAGACCTGATCCTTGGCCTTTGAAATAAAATTGAAATATCTCAAAACAGTTAGGTTTGGGGCTAGTGAATCCTAAGTCCCCTGGGTGCATGATAATCATAAAGCCTGAGTTTTTGTTTGTTTTTGTTAATTCTCACCCAACGATATTTTTCCATTGATTTTTTAGATAGAGTGGAAGGGAGGAAGAGAAAGAGAAAAACAATGATTGGTTGCCTCCTGCACAACTCCCACCAGAGCCAGGGATCATACCTGCAACCTAGGTACATGCCCTTGACTGGAAATTGAACCCCTGACCCTTCAGTCTGAGGGCCAACACTGTAACTGCTGAGCCAAACCAGTCAGGGTGAAGCCTGAGGGTTTTTTTGTTGTTGTTTATTTGTTTGTTTGTTTTTTAATCCTCACCTGAGGATATTTTTCATTTATTTTCAGAGAGTAGGAGGGGGGTGGGGGAGAGAGAGAAAGAGACACCAATGTGAGAGAGAGACGCACCGATTGATTGCCTCCTGCATGACCCCAACCAGGACTGGGGATGAACTGTAACCGAGGTACATGCCCTTGATTAGAATCAAACCTGCGATTCTTTGGTCTGTGGGCCGACGCTCTAACCGCTGAGCAAGACTGGCCAGGGTGAAGCCTGAGT